TAAAAGCTAGGAAACAAATAACAAAATAAGCCCAAAGCAAGCATAATGAAGAAAATGAAATAACAGAACTAGAAACAGAAATTAATGGGGTAGAGAATAAAGAATAGATTTAAATATAACATATCATTTTTGATTTATTTTTTGAAAAAAAATTAACAAAATAGGCAAACCACTTGCTGACAATCAAGGGGAAAAAAAGGGGAAAGCACAAATGAACAAAACAAAACAAAAATGATATGAAGGAAATAACCATTGAAAAAAACATTGAAATAACTGTTAGAAAAAAAAACATACAATTCTATTTTTCATATATCACTACAAATAAATTTGAAGACCCAGGTGAACTGGGTAATTTATCAGGCAAAGAGCTTACTAAAAACTGACTACTTAAAGATAAAATCTGAACGAGATCATTCTCCTAAGAAAAAATAAAGAAAATAATAGGACCTATCCAACGAAAAAAAGCATCAGGTCTGGATGGTTTTTCACAGAGTGAAACCTGCAACTACCAGGTTGTTTAAAAACTCTCTTACATTTTTCCAGAGCAGTGAAATGAAGGAAAACTTCTGAAATCTTTGCACTTATATATGTAACATCAATACCTAAACCTTATAAGGACAATGCAAAATAAATTATACACTAATTTTTGCTTATCAGTACTTATATAAAAATACTAAACAGATTATTAGGAAACGGAATCCAATGCCACATTAATAGAATGACACAACAAAGGGATATTCATTTCAGGAACGTAAAGTTGGTTCAATGTTAGGGAACCCATTAATATAATCCACCACACAAATAGATTTCAGAAGAAAAACATATAATCATCTCCACAGATGCTAAAGAAGCTTTCTATCACAATCCGATTCTTTCCTAATGAAAAACACTCAAGAAAATAGAAATCAAGGAATACTTCCTGTTATGTATCTCCCCAAAATTAATTTGTTGAAACCCCTTCCACTCCATGTGAACATATTTAGAGATAGGGCCTTAATGGAGGTAATTTAGGTTAAATTAAGTCATAAGGATAAACTCCTAATCCAAGAAGATTAGTGTCCTTGTAAGAATAGACCAGAGAACTCACTCCTTCTCTCTCTCTGCTATGTGTGGACATAGAAATAAAGTAGCTGTCTATAAAGCCAGGAAGAGAATTCTCAGCAGCAACTGAATCTGACACCCTGATTTCAGACTTCCAGACTCTAAGCTGTGAGAAAATAAGTTTTTGTTGTTTAAGCTATCCAGTATATGGTATTGCAGCCTGAGCTAACATCTCCATTGAGATCAGGAACAAGAAAAAGATGCCCACCATCTACACTACGGATTAACATAGCAATGACTTGTAATATTAGCCAATGTAATTAGATAAATCAATCACAGGCACAAGAATTGGAAAAGAAGTAAAACTATCTCTACTTGCAGATGTGACTGTGTACCTAGAAATTCCTAGAAAGTGAATGATAAAACTGAATAAAAAAACCCCAGTAAAATAGGATATAAAATCATCATATAGAAATCAATAGTCTTCATAAAATTAGTAACCAGTAAGAGGATACAATGGCAAAACAAACAAAACCAAAACATTTCCACTTACAATAGCAACAGGGAAGATATTTAGGAAAACTTCAACAAAAAAAATGTGTAAAATCTACATAAGAAAGTTCAAAACACCCTTGAAAACAACAAAATTAGATTTGAATAGAAAAAAAGCAGCTCTTGTTCTTGAATAGGATGACTCAACATAACAAAGACAAATCATGATCACAATAAAAAATACCAACAAACATTTTTATGAAGTTGGACAGGTTGGTAACTAAACTTCATATGGATCAATAAACAGGCAAGAATAGCCAAGAAAACACTAAAAATGAACATCCTTAAAGAGAGACTAGGCATTAAAACATTATATAGCCTCTATCATTAAAACTGACATTTTGGTTATGTGAATATTGACCAGTGGAACACAACAGAAAACCCAGAAATAAACCCAAGTATGTAGAGAACTTGAGTATATGGTAAAGTCAGTATCTCAAATCATTGAGGCAAAGGCAAACCTTTAAATGCATAGTGTTAGGACAAGCGACTAGTCATCTGGAAAAGATACAATTAGATCTACACTTTGTATCACACAAAAGAATATCCCCAAATGGACCAGGAATCTAAATATAAAATAACTGAAGCCACATACATGTACTAGAAGAAAACATGGGTAAATTTATATTTAACTGGGATGTAAGGAGAGGCTTTCCAATTATTCAGAATCCATATGCAAACGAGTGATAAATTTGCTACATTGAAAAAACCTGCATGCCAACAAAACCATTTAAACAAGTTCCATAGGGGCACCTGGGTGGTTGAGCATCTGCCTTTGGCTCAGGTCATGATCCCGAGTCCTGGGGTTTGGGATTGAGCCCTGCTCAATGGGGAGTCTGCTCCTCCCTCTGCCCCTCACCCTGCTCATGCTCCCTCCCTCTCTCTCTCTCTCTCAAATAAATAAAATCTTAAAAAAAAAAAGTTCCATAAACAAAGTCAAACAAGAAGAAACTGTCTTCAGGATGTATCACATAGAGGCTACTATCACTAAAAGATAGTAACAGAATTCCTAGGATCAGAGAAAAACAAAGACCAAAAAAAACTGACAGAAAAATTAGCAAATGACACAAAAAGTTGTTTAAAAAAAATGAACCTGACATACAAAAAAATATGTTTAACATCACTCATACTAAGAGAAATGCAAATTACAAATATACTGAGATACCATTTCTCACCTATCAATTGGCAAAACTTAAAAAGCATGATGATGCACACCCTGGCAAGGCTGTGGGGAAACAGGCATTTTTATGCATTGCTGAATGGAAATGCAAGTTGGCACAACCCTTGTAGAGGGGAATCTGGTAATATCTAACAAAGCTTTATATACATTTATCTTTTGAACCAACAGTCGCATTTCAGGAATTTGTTCTGAAGATACACCTCCAAGAATACAAAAAAACATCTGCATAAAGTTATTTGTTGCAGCACCATTTGTACCTGCACAATACTGGAAGTACCTGTACACAAAAGAGTGGTTAAATAAACTGCAGTACCTCCATACTGTGGAGTTCTCTGCAGCTGTAAAAAGAATTAAGGGCTATGTCTATGCACTGTTGTTGGAATGATTTCCTTGTTAGGTAAGGGAAAAGCAAAGTAGAAAAGAATATCAATAGTATATTAGATTTGAACTTCGGAATGTCTCTAACAAATCAAATCTTTAAAAAAAAATAATTATAGGGGCACCTTGGTGGCTCAGTCAGTTAAGCATCTGCCTTTGCCTCAGGTCATGATCTCAGGGTCCTGGGTTTGAGCCCCGCATCGGGCTCCTTGCTCAGCAGGGAGCCTGCTTCTCCCTCTCCCTCTGCCTGCCTCTCTACCTACTTGTGATCTCTCTGACAAATAAATTTTTTAAAGAAAAATAATAACATTAACACACCAAAAACAATCATTCTTGCTATCACTGAATGCCAGATTCCTCTTAAAATTTCTCTGGATTATCTTAACATGTCTTCCTGCAGCTTGAATCAAGATCAAAACAAGGTCCACACATTATTTTTGGAAGATGTAACTCCGAAAAGTATGACAATTCCCTCTACTTCTCTCTTTTTAAAAAATGCTATTGACAGATGGTCTTTATGGTTGATAAAACGTGTTTCTCTAGCTCCTTTATTTCCTGTAAACTGCTAAGGGCTTGATGGGACTGTGGCTCACCTTTTTTCACTGCTGTTACAAGACTGCTTAGGTGATACTGTTTACTCCCTACTGCATCACCCGTTTAATACAGTTGCCCTCTATTAGTGTTATAGTGGTTTCTAGATCCTTAGGCAATCTCAGTTCCTAAAAGCTTATCCGAGACCATACATTCATGGCAATATACACATGGTGATCAAGCTACCAGGTTAATTAACAGTTGACTGAGAGACAACAGAGGTTATCAATCGGCAGTAAGATAAGTTAGCCAGGAATTGTTTCTCTCATAGGTAAGAGGCCAAAACATAGAGACAAGATGAAGGATTTGACTTGATATGGAGAGGAGGCCGCCAGAGGATGAACATGATGCTTACAGAAAAGATACTGGGTTCCGCTTACAGTTCTAAAAGATATTTTATACACTAGTACCAATAAATGTTTCCAAATTAACTCATGGAGAATTCAAGATTTACTGTATGATGTTAGTTCACCTGAACAGTCTTAGACATTTTCCACCTTTAAGCCTAAGGGACTGATCTCTAAGCCAAAGATTCTCAACATGACTACAAAGCAGATTCTCCTGGGAAGCCTTTAAATTCCAGAGGCATGGGTCCCACCCAATCAATTCCGATTCAACTGGTCTAGGATGGGGATACAGTATTATTTAGTATATAGTATTATTTAAAGTCTTTCCAGGTGACTCTAATATGCAGCCATAACTGAGAAACACTAATCTTAGCTAAGAATAACAACAATAGCAGCTAGTATTAGTAAGCACATATTATGTGTTATGGACTATTCTAAGCACTTTACATGTTACTAGTTCATTCCCTATCTTACAAGTGAAAAAACAGGTCAGGTAACTTGCCCAAAATCACACATAAGCTAAGAGCGGAGTGAGGATTTGATACCAGGCACTCTGGATCCAAAACCTATGATTTTAATCACCATGATATACTGCCTAAGCATGAATTATATTCTTTAATTGCAAATAAAATGATTAGAAAAAAAACAAAAAAATGAGATACTTCACATCCTCCTTCTTAGAAGCAGAATGGCATCTTGTTGCAAAAGTACCAACAAGCTTATTTGGACAGATAAGAATCTTCTTTTCCCAAAAGATTCAAATTTGAGATTTCCACACATAATCCACAAAATAATTTCCTACCTATCATCCTATATAGCCTAGTTATTTAATGTAAGTATCAAAAATTGTTTTAGTTTTAAAACTCAGGGCAGTGATGTGTTACATGTACATTTACAAGAAAATTTCCTACCTATTTCAGTTCTGCTAACTCCAATGCCATTATAAATTTTCAAGTAATTAAAGTGACAAGAGTCAGAATCTTCAATGTCAAAGTCACCAAATTTGATGCGCACTCTCTCCCCCATCTTTACACGGATCTCCCATTCGCAAACGGTGCTGTTGGGATAGGTCTGTGGGTAGTTTATGGACGTGAGGGTTCCACTTTCAGGGCCTAGTACAGTATGTCCACATCCATCACCTTAAAAAAAAAAAAGTTAAAAGAACGATAAATTATTATTACATCTTTAACATTATAAATAATCAGGATTTTTTTGGTGAAAATTTTAAAATATGTATGACAGATGTTTTATACCACCAACACTTTCCTTACACAAGATAAAAGGGAAGGCAGAGTTCTTAGTATATCTGCTCATAGGAACCAAAAGAAGCCAGGTACGGTCAAAATAATCAATGATTGCCCTTATGAGTTCAAAGAGCTTTCCACCTCAATAAACAGAGGTAAACATAGTTTAGCAATAAATTTATATGCATAGCATAATAAATCCAATCTTTAAAAGACTGTCAGTTCATAGTAATTGTTCAAAGTAAATGTAAACTATAAAAATAAAAGTATGTGATCAGCTTCATTCATTTATCACAAACCCTTCTAAAATCTGTGAGAAGTAGGAGGGTATCTAAAAACACTTTACACGTTGCAGAGATTACTGACCATATTACAGTATTTCAAGGCACTCATTCTTGAAGGCATTAAAGCCCTATTTAATGAAATTTAATTTTACTAATTTTACATTCTATTGAAATTTGACTTTTTAGTAGTCCTTCTCCAAAAACCTCACTTTTTCCCTATAGAATGACAACAACAACAAAAAACAGTTTAATGACTTAGTAAAGATTAGGAAAAATAACTTTCATATCTTGGTAGCAGCATTATCTATTCCAGAATTCCTTCACTGTGGGAACTCAGGGAACTTAACATAGTATTGTTTGCATCCTCCTTTTATCATAAAATCTGGTTTTTGAGCACCTAGAAGAGGCATGCAATGTTGAGAAGTTTCAGCTGCTGCTCCAACTGTACCATATAACATTCCTTAATGATGGGATTCAAATGAATCTCTTTCTAAAAGGAAGACGACACTGTACTAAAATGATAGTATTTTTTTCCTTCAAAATAGCCATTTATAATCACCTCTGGAATAGTTGAGTACTTACACAAAAAAAACTTATCAAAAGTGACAGTGCTGAGTTTTGAAGTCAATATGGATACAGACAGCTGTAAAAGGATTTTCTATTATATTATTATTGTTAAGAACAGTGCAGTGCTGATACCATTTACTAGAATAGATGAATGAAACCTTTAAAAGCCTGTGAATAAGAAGTTAATAATCTAGGGGCGCCTGGGTGGCTCAGTCGTTAAGCGTCTGCCTTCGGCTCAGGTCAGGATCCCAGGGTCTTGGGATCGAGCCCCGCATCGGGCTCTCTGCTCCGCGGGAAGCCTGCTTCTCCCTCTCCCACTCCCCCTGCTTGTGTTCCCTCTCTCGCTGTGTCTCTGTCAAATAAATAAAATCTTTAAAAAAAAAAAAGTTAATAATCTAGAAAGTATTTGCAAAATAGTTATTAATTGGATGTATAAGGAACTGTACATGAACCAACGAAAAAGTAATTTCACACCAGTCTCAAAACTCACTTTAATAAAGGAAAAACTATTTACCTACATTATGATGACAATACTTCATATCCTTTTCTGATCAAGAAATTTTATTCTCAAATCCCTACTAGTATTTTTGGCCCACTTTTAAAGGTCAATACTAGCAATCTAGCTTCCTAAACAAACATCTATAAAGTTCAGCTTTTGAGCAACATTGCTATCTCTACACCTGCTTTCATTCTACACATAGAAACTAGGCATAGTCACTCAATAATATATAAAGGCACCATGAAATAAACATGTGAGTTTTTGTGATACACCCACTGATCTTCTGCAAATATAAAACTTAAGTGTTACACAACTCAGAAGAAAAAAAAAAACACTCAAATTTTTCCTGAAACTATGATGAAAATACTTTGAATATCTCTACTGAATATCATCTAAATTAGAAACACAGGGATATAAAAACTTTCACTGTGAACATAAATGAATTGTAATAAAAATAACTTTTGAATAATCATTAAAATTTTTCCTTAGAGAAAAATACTATCCCCTAAGACAAAATTTCTAACATTATGAAACTAGTCTGAAATGTTCTCTTACTATTAAAAAGATGAAAATGTGCTTTCTGGAATGTTTAAAACTTTGAAAAGTAGCCACTGAATAAATAAAATATAAATGTATTTTCTTTAGTGAATAGAAACTAAAGCAGCTTTTTTAAGTGGCTGGAAGTGCTGATAGATTTCAGGAAGCCAAGAATTTCCTATTAACAGCTGAATTCATGACTTAGTAATGGCAGACTGTCCCATCTAATATATTCCCTATGGGCCACTATTTAACTTAAGGTTGCCATTTTAAAATGAATTTTACAAAAAGAGTACAAGCAGTGTTAGGAGTAATTTTTAGACATCTTTATGCTCGTATTTGACTGTCAATAAATACACAAATGTTTCTTGCCTTTTCCTCCATAAAGCATAATTTCTACAAGTTAACAAAATAAATACTAACTGATGAAAAACAGGACTTTTGCATGCATGCTGATGAAGAAAACAATTAAAATGGAGCTGTCTTTTTTCAGTATCTTGTGTAGCGGGAGGGCATGAACAGTCCACAAGTAACGTGCCAAGAATGTTCTAAAATATGTGATGGAGCTCAGCGCTTCCTCCCCCTAGCAAAAAAAGATGGTATGCACCAGAAACCAGAGTTAAAAGAAAGTCTCCAATCTACTACTACAATGAACAAGTTTGAATGTTTCATACTTCCAAGACTATTTGATAAGTTTAACCTGACAAGATAAATAGATTAGCTGGCCTGGATAAACACCTACTGCTATGAAGAATATGTTTAGAATATTACAGTTTGAAAGGGGAGGCTGGGCTCATACATTATCACTAGGCCAGCAGTTTTCAAATGTTTTTCTCAGTTATTCCAAAGTAAGAAATACATTTTACACTGTGATCCTATACACTGCTGCATGTATAATCCCGACCCACTAAAGGGTCCCCACCAGCACTCTGGAAAACACTGTACTGGCATCCAGAGGTCATAATGTTGAACTCTCAAAGACCTTGTCTTCACTTTTACCCTTAAATTAGAAAATGTGCTTCCAGTTTTTCAGTTCTTAAAAGCAAATCCTATTTTACACCAATGCTTAAAATGACAAAGTATCTAAAAGTAAAATTAAAATCTGGAGAACATTATCAGCTAATCACCTAATACACTTAGACAGTGGTACTCAAATGTGGGAGATGCGGAAGCTCCCATGGGAGCAATTTTACCTCCCATATGGCAATGTCTGGAGATAGGTTTGGTTGGTTGTCACAATTGAGGGGGTGGGCTACTACTGGCATCTGGTGGATGGAAGCCAGGAATGCTGCTAAACATCCTACATTGTGCACAGGACAGCACCCCCAGAATAAAGAATGATCGATCTTAAACGTCAATAGTACTGAGGTTGAGAAGGCTGACCTACAGTAAAGGCCAGGACATCTCAGACAGAAGATCCGAGTGAGTCCTTGGCCGGGTTTCCTTTGGCCCAAAGAATAATGCTGTTCTGTCCACTGAGGGTACAGCCTAAGGAATACTTTCCTCCCACGGTCAGCAGTTATACTAAAGAGCCTGAGTCCCACTTCCCAATTTTTAAAACAAGTAAATGGAAGTTAAAGGAAAGAAAATCCTTTTTATTAGTCTACAGGCCTGGAGTAATTTTTTTTTTCTGGGTCAACAGCTCTTAAATTAGGGTTTGAAAAAGGGTGCTAATAAGGTCAGGAGTTAAGTCTCCAAATTTTCTGCTTATCTTTGTATGCTTTGGAAAAAATAATGACCTGTGACCAGGAAACAGCACCTACCGTTATTCATTTTCACAAGGCAGAATTGACAAAGACAGCATAACTACGACAGGAAATATAACTTTCACAATGGTTATCCTAGGACCAATCCATGTGCCCTCACCAGGAACTCCAACATCACCAAATCTTTCTCCTTCTCCAACACCATCAATACCATCATCACTGTCAGCTTCTCCTCCTCCTCCTCTAGATGGTCTCCACCAAAGTATAAATGACCATAAAGGACAGAAGCCTGTTAATGTAATTTTTGAATTTCAGTTTTATTTCAGTGGTGAAGAAACACTGGAATTTGATCTTACTGCTCCTTTGTTTGGCTGCTGATTTATCTAGGGGATTACTCAAAGAACATGTGTTCACTTCCTCTGAAGAGGCTAAGGTCAGATGTGTTAAGCCAGATACAAATTTTGGTATTTTTCCAGGAAAATAACAATATTTTTTTAAACTACTTAACCCTAGAGAAAACAGAACATTAAACATTTAAATAACAATGAATTAATACAACAAAGAACACATTCTTATTTTAGGCTGCTCTAAACTTCAATTTTTTTTTTTTATACATACATGCTCGTGATATTGATTACATGTGACCCTGCAGCCACCCCCATATTTTAGTCACATTACTAATACGTAATACAAATTATCTTAATGATTGAATTGTATTACTATAAACACTTCATGACTTCTAAAAATACAATACCAAACACAAATGCACAAATATGCCATAAATGTAGAGCAATGTAACTTTCATTACAATCATTATAAACCCTGAACAGTTTATATTTTTCCAGTGAGCTTTCAAGGATTTTTTTTTTAATCACTGTCAATAGGTGAGTCTGACTATACTTCCTCTAAATAAGTGTCATTTCTGTCACATCTTATAATGCATCTGTGAGATCTTATAATAAATCAATTGAAAAAAAAGTATTTTAGAGTAGAAGGGCACTCAAAGGAATAACTTGCAAGACTTAACTAATACATCCTATTTCATCTGGCTACAATGAAGATTTTTAATGCCATATTTAGCACTGTGAATTTTTGGACTGAAGTACCATTATCAGTCTTATAAGATTTTTAAAGTTGCATCACTACAAATCTCAAATAAATAATTCAAAGACTACTTTAATTTCACTCGTTTTTTATTTTTTCACTACTTTAATTTCACTCATATTTTTTTACGTAATACTACGTAAGATGGATATGCTCCAAAAGCCTAAAGAAGGTCACTGTGGCAATTTTTAGAAAAAG